TGTCACACTGGCATTTCTGCTTGTGAACTGTGCTGCACCTGCTCAGACAAACATCCCTTACAGGAAGCCCTTCTCCACTTAAGGGAAGGAAAGCACCTATGGGAGATGTGGCAGGCTGATTATATTGGTCCTTTTCATAAATCTGAAGGCAAACAACATTAACAAGTCTAAGCAGAAATAGTCTCTGGCCTACTACAGGCCAAACCTTTCGCTTGAGCAACATAGGAAAACACTGTTAAGGCCCTTAAGAATCCTCCCAAAACCCAATTCAGTACCATCAGACAATGGTTCTCATTTCACCTCAGTGACAGTATAGGAATGGGCACAGGAGGAAGGTATTTAATGGGTTTTTCACATCCTTTTACCCACAGGTACCGTGGAACAATTCAATGGTCTCCCCAAGGAGTTCCTAAAACTGGGGAAGCACAGTTGGGCTTCCTGACTGTCTGAGGCTGCTGCAATAGTCAATGACCACTGAGGGGTACGTGAGTGTCCCAGTTTTAATGCCTTCTATCCCAATGTCACTTTACTTTTGCCTGTAACTATGTTTGAGAGTTCATGTAACAGAACACAGCTACTCCTCGGGCCAACCAGTATTCATTAAACAGCCCAACATCAGGCCTGTCCCTTTGACCCTCACTGAACCTCTGCACAAATAAACTGGAAGGCTTGAGATCATTGAGGAAAATGTACAAAATTAAGCTGCTGGATTTCATCTATACTCTACCCTTGGTTCCTCTGGGACCAGGAAGTTCTCTCTCTTTTGTTTTTCATATGCTAACAAATGCTGATTCTACCACTGTACCCCACAAGTTCCCTTCTCACCTTGTTCCTTTTTCTAGGATGTCTGTGGCATTGTCAATGCCACTATTCTGGGCAGACATCTTTGGATTGATATTTGTAATCACTTATGCTGATCCTTTTGTGCACATTGGGTAGCTGTAGTCCCATTCCTGTGTCAGGTGTTCCAAAGGATGGAACCAAATTCTAATTATAATACAGGCTTGAAATGAAATATACTTTAAAAATGAATGTAGCTGGCACATGCTCTGAATACGTGACTCCCCAGCTCCTGGGAAATGCAAGAACTAAAGATAGGATGTTGGTGAACAATGGGTGCAACCATGAGAAAGTATCTCAAATCTCTGTGATTGATGTCAAAACAGGAGCAAGAGGTAGAAAAGTAACAGTCCCACAGAAAGGTGGGACTGTTAGTACCACTTTACTTTAATGCAACCTGTTAATGTAGCTTGTCTCTGGCTAGCAGTGGTCTGGGATGATCACTTAAATTTAATCGTTATCAAACACAGAAAAAGCACCCTGCCTACACTGACTCCTCCCAGTCACCCCACTAATGAGTAGTAGAGGATGGGGAAAAGGCTTTGTCCTCACAGCGTTATGAGATTGAAACATGCAAGCAGAAATACAGGTTAACAATGGATACTGTTTAATCCATCCTGGTCTCTTAAAAGGTCAAGTTGTTGATGAAAACTAGTATCGCAGCAATCAAACCAACCTGCTCACCATTTCTAAATGCATCCTGTGCAGCATGGCTAACGTGGCTACACAGGTGAGCACTTCCCCTGACTAAATGAGTGTGTGACTGGCATAACAGGAGCAGGACTAGGAGTAGTAAGTAGTACAGATACTGAAATGCTCATAAGTAAAGCACACCAACAAGTGACCTGCATGCATTACAGCACCGCTTGCAGTCTTCCCTATCAGCACTGGGAACCAACCAGAGGCTCTTATCTATTACCTCAAAGGGAGAGGACTCATATGAAAGACCAACAATTAATTGTAGATTCACTTGCCATAATCCAAGGAAATGTTTATCTAGCTCTTAGTTATATCCAAGCTCAAATATGGATGCAATCTACAGTAGCAGCAATTGTAAGAGAAGGTGAAGGAGGTACTTCGCACACTGAAATTCAAAAGGTGATTTGCGTAACACAAATAAATTTGAAAGAGAATTTCAATCCTGGTGGCATCTATGGTGTTTTACTCATGATCCTGTTAAAAACCATGCTGCAGCCTTTGTCCGAACGATATGCAATGCTTCAGTATATACCATATACCCAATTGTTGTGTTGAGATTTATTCACAGTGGGGCTACACTCTGTCCATTAGAACATAGAGTATGGGCTCAACAAAATGGAAATGAATGGCAAACTGTTGATGTTGGTGCACGTGCTGTAAGGGAAAAACAAGGGTTTATTTGTGAGTTATACTGTCAAAGCTCAAGGCATTTGTCTCAACAAAGCTTATAAACAAGAGGGTGTACATCTGTGTATGGAGGAAGATAGTGATAGGACAAGGGGAATGGTTTTAAACTAAGACAGGGGAGGTTTAGGTTGGATATTAGGAGGAAGTTTTTCACCCAGACGGTGGTGAGGTACTGGAACAGGTTGCCCAAGGAGGCTGTGGATGCCCCATCCCTGCAGGCATTCAAGGCCAGGCTGGATGTGGCTCTGGGCAGCCTGGGCTGCTGGTTGGTGACCTGCACACATCAGGGGGTTGGAACTGGATGAGCATTGTGGTCTTTTGTAACCCAGGCCATTCTGTGATTCTATAACACTGAACATAATACCTGCCATTTTTAAGTGCATTCTGATGAGACCCCTGAAACTGTGCTTATCTACACTGGAAAATGATGTGTCCGTGCAAAAATCTCTTGTAATTTTATACTCATAGGTAATACTAATAAAGATCCAAGCAATTACTCAAATATTCATGTTTCAACTTTATCATGTAAAACATGCTCATACTATTCAGGTTTTGCGATTGCTTACTGGGATAACTGTACATTCATGTTTCTCTTCTTCTACATCTTTTTTGTTCCGAAGCCATCTCTGTGGCTAAAATTAATATTCTGTCCCTTTCCCCAACATTTTGAGACATTAAGCAAACAGGCACAGCTCCACAGAACAGCAAGCAAGTTCAAACACACGTGTATGTGACATGCTGTATTCTTTCCTATATACCAACTGCACATAAAATGGATCTACATCTCGCAATTTCTACAAACAAATAATGGAAAATAATCCTAATTCATGGATCTATCAGACTATTTAAATAGTATGATCAGGATTGCAGCAGTGGGATGCAAAATTAAGGATGTTTTTAAGCATAGCTCAATCCGACATTTTGCTCACTTAAGCAATCTACAGGGCAGGTTGCTCCAGAGCCAAAAACTAAATGCAGATAAGTATTTTCAGGTATATTTGGGATAGCTCAGCCTTCAATTATATCCTTTTCTTTACAGATAAACCATCCGTATCATGATGCTGCAACTAATCAAAAACACACAAGCATGACCAAAGTTGCAATATTTATGCACTTCTTACAAGTATCCATAGAATACCCACACATCTCTTAAATTAATTACTTTTATTTCCATTAAACCAAGACAATTTCAAAATTAATACAAAATTAAAAACAAAACAAAACAAAAACAATGTGGTTGGCAAGCAGGGAAAAAGGGCTGCACACAATGCATGTTGTTGTTATATGCTCAAAATACTTTTGAAAAAATGTAACAACATTGGCACATAAAACCAGCATTTTCCCTATGCAACAAAACCAGCAGCATATTCCCTCTATTTTTGGTTAGCTGTTCTAAGAAAAATAAGCATACATATACACACTCTTCCAGTGTTCACTACAAGTGTTTAAAGCTGCTTTACTACTCGCAAACAGACACAGCACATTAACAAGGCCTTGTTTATTTAATACAGATTGGAGCACACCTGCAAAGGTTCCTGCCCAAAAATCAAAGCCAGTGAAATCCACAGCTTTGCCTGTTAGTTTTATTGTGCTCTGAATTTGCATTGGAAAAAATACAGAAATAAACAGAATTTACTCATTTTAAATTTTAATAAAAAATCTTCCATCTGGAAAGCAGTATTTTCAAGCACTGGTATCCCAATCTTCTAATGCCCGCTGAAAACCCACAAAACACACAAAAAAGCCTGAATGGACAGAAGAATGATTACAGTCACGTTCTCCCTCTCCTTGTTCCAGCCTGAACTCTGTGCCCCACTTCCCACTATGTTGCAGACCTAACTCTAAATTCACATTTTGCAGCTCTGATCCAGAACAAACTTTCCCTGAGTGCTCTTACTACTTGTCTCAAAAAGGTCAGAATATGTTTACTGGAATTCAGCCACTGTTACTGCCATCCTCTTTGCTAACACATGAACTATTTTCTAGGCAAATTAGTTCATTTTGGTAGCCCTGGATTTTACATACACACAGACTTGTATTCTGTTGTTCCAATTACAGAATTTGAAAGTGCCTTCTAAACAGTACTATTAAGGCAGGTTTCAGAAAAAAAAATTAGACCCGAAACATGTATATGGACAACTCTTCATAATGATGCCTTTCAACTGAAAGATGCCTAATTAATAGCATATCCTCTCAGTAATTTAGTGGTATGGCATTGGGAGTTGGAACAGCTGTGCCTGGGCATTAGAAGGGAACCAAACGCGGTACCATGCAAGAGGAAACAGATATGGTATGGGAGTAAGTGTGAACTTCACTTACAGGTAAATTCAGTGTTTCACATGCAAGATCTGAATCAGTGAGGCACTTAAATAATCTCTTAAGGTCTAGCTTCCATCTGTTAGCCACCTTCACATGAATGTGAGCTGTGTAGACGTATGGAAGGAAGCCTCAGAACTGCATTAAAACTCCGCATTAACTAGTCTAATTCACAGCTATTGTACTGTCACTGACTTCAAATGCAAATCCCTAGAGGACAGGCCTAAAATGTCCTATCAAATACAACATAACATATACATACATTCCACGTGACTTATGTTAACATTGCTGAATGCATTCAGAATTCAGTAGTCTTGCTTTTTCATTTCCAGTATCTCTCATACTGGAAGGCATATTTATGTCTTCCCCTATAGAAAGTTAGTTGAATAAGTTAACTGCACAGGTTTATAAAATATTTTCTATGCGTCTCAAAACAACAGCCCAAAAAGCAACTAAACTTAAATTTAAGAAATAGTATATTTACAATTAAAATAAGTACAGACCTTATTGGACTTATGTTCATTTATCATACACAATAATGTACAAGGCTTAAAGACATAAGTGATTGCTTATCAAGTCAAGGCTTTTGGAGATGCATATTCTCCATATATCAAGAGTGCCATACAATTTCAGGAAGTAGTAATGTATTCTGGCTACAATTTTTTCATGAGTCTTTATGTTGGACGACCTTGACCAAAACGGGATTTTGACCTGGATTAAGAGCACAGAAAAAACATATGCAGGTTATCATATCTAGAATGCTTTACTTATTACAGAGTCAGCTCTCTGGTTTAGTACGTGTTAGAAACTACTTTCAGGCTAAAGTGTAATCTGAGAAAAAAAGAAAGGAAATCTCACGACTGTATTGAGAAAGCTGCATTTCTGTCAATGTACCTGCAGCCATAAACTGTACATTCATACAAAGGTATGCAATGAATCCAACAATTCAAAGAATTGTTATGTCAAATAACTTTTTATGAAATCATTAATTCTGCAGTAGTAGTCACATGCATGCTTTGAACATCCACAAGGTATTTGAAGCACCCAGTGTATTCTTAAAAGTTTGTCAGCATCTAGAGACTCACCTGCTGGCCACATAATTTTACAAAGGAAGCTTTCACATCATATATATTTAGCCTGCTAGAAGAGATATTGATGCAAGAAAGTGTATGAAATGAAGCATACTTAAATTAAAACAGTGTCCACCCCCAGCCCTCCCAGAAATTCATATCCTGCTTTTTCATTTTGTCTTACCTGGCATTCTTCTCAGTGCTGATTTGTCGTGCATTGACCTGTGCTGAGGCCTTTATTTGAGCTTCAAGTCTCGAATAAATACCTCCCGCATACTGAAATGCAAAAAAAACCAAAACAAAACAAAACCCCCAAAAACACAAGTTGTGACATTATTCCAATCTAATTGGTGTCCTTTCATGAAAATAATTAATATTCAGGAGAACCTATAGCATACTTTCTTTTCATTAGCACAACCCAGTACTGAAATGTTTTTAAGCCATCCTATTTTCCATGTTTAATTTTTAAAGGCAGTGAACTTCAATAATTGTTATTTAACTCCTTTACAAAAAAATAAAAAAATAAAAAGCATGCTCAGAAGGAAATGAAGATTAAACTCAATTCTTTGTAAGTAATTGAAAGCATGCTGTTTTCACTTGTGTTACACATTTGTTACAAAGGCCTGCTTCAATTCGATAATCACTACGTTATGACAGTCTTACTTCTTTGCTCTCTCTTGACTTGATTCGACCAAAGTCTCCCAGTCTGATTTTTATCAAGTGTCCTGTAATCTCAGACATTCTCCTCTGGTCTGCCAGAAAAAAACACTATTTTAGAACAGAGGTTTTTCATACTACCGAGTACAAAGAGATCAATACACAAAACACACTTTAGTTGCATCCTATTTGCAAGAAGTAATTTTTTGTTTCTCAGCTCATATAGAAGTCTTGAACAACAATGTATTCTGATGAATAATCTGGCTTCACAGCATTCTGGGCAGAGAGCAGAATCAGCCTGAGGAATTACACTGAGATAAAAAAAATATACGGAAACAGTTTTGAGGAAAAGACTTTCAAAACAGTAAAAACAGATAGAAATCTCAAAGATATAAAAAGCTGTATGAATTAATATAATTCTGAATATTAGAATTCTGAAGACAGGGAAGAAGATAAAAGTAAATGCATGTATCACTTTTTATACATCCAGGCGATAAATAACACAAGGATGCGAGAAAAAAATCTTTGCTTACTTGTATAATCATCAGAGGACAGAATTAGAATCTCTGCAGGTTATGTGCAGACTTTCCAAATACAGAATGTAAATGATGCTAACAAAATTTGAACGGAATATTTTTTTCTGTAAACTTGGAATTCCTTCCAAATATTTTCTTAGTCTGAGGGTCCAAAGATGCCCATTTCTTTTTCAGCCTGTATGCAAGACTATAATGTAGTTTACAATAGGTTTTCTTTCCATCTTCCTGACACAGGTTTTTGAGTCCTGTAGAATAGATGAGATTGCTAATAAATGCCAATCAAATTCTGAACTAATATTTTCAGGAGCTCCCAGCTATGTATATATCTATCTACACAGATATTTTATTTATTTATTTATTGTTATTTTTTTGAAGAATCTGAAATTGCTGTATGGCTTGGATAAAGCTGATTACTAACAAGTAGCTGAAATCTGTTTTCCTACATATGAGCACTACAATTTAGCTTGAGTTTTACCTCAGATAAAATGAAGTTTTTTCTTTATTGTTGTTTTCTTCATTGTTTACAATGTTGTGAATTGCTGTATTTTTAAAAAAATAGCCATTTTAAATGTGAAATAATGATTTTCTTTGTATAGCATTAACATAACAGCTAGATCATGCAAGAACAGACCGTCTTCTCTTTGAGCATCTTGGTTGAATCTCAGTGACCTGGAGGCATCCCATTTGTTCTGCTGCACGCTTACACTGATTAAAAAAGAAAGATACATGCAGTGTTGTCAGTAACCATTTGCGAGAAAGGATATACTACCACCTGTTATCAAGGACTTTGAAAATTACTTACGTGAACGGAGATGCATCCCGGGAACCTGGCTATAAAATAAATAAAAATATATTAAGTAAGACATGATCTTAAAACATAAAAAAAAACGTTCTCACAGCACAGGCTGTGTTCACAGCTCTGGTTTTACCTTGTCAGATGGCTTCTCCTTTTTCTGAATACTAGGCGAAGAAGCCCCTTTCTTAGGGTGTTTATAGAACTTCTTTAGTTTCTCCTTTCTCCCTGCAAATTGAAGAAATATCTACTGACTGACACAATCACAGATACTCTGAATTTTACAACTACATAGCTACAAAAGGATTTTCCTCCCCTATTCCTTTACAGTAAAAATTAAATGAACAATTTGTTTTTAATTTGTTAGTATTGCAGGCAGGTTAAAACACATGGGTTACTCTTTTCCAGTAGAAGCATACATTAACTCTAATACACATTTAAAATATAAGATGATGACACAACCACACTTTCAATTTTAGATTGTAAATTTAAAATCAAGAGCACATACAACCTACATCTCTGACCATATTGCTTGCATCAACAATCTGAAGGATATCAGATCAAGTAAGTTTAAAGTCAGGCTGCAAAAAAGTTGGCACTTAAAAAAAACCTAAATTTGCATTAAGATAAAAAAAGAATCCCTTCAAAGTATCAAAAACCAAAGTGCTCGAGTTCAAATGTTACTAGTATGTACAGGAGAGGTGGCCTTTTGCTTTGCACATTCCTCAACTTTCCAGTATAACAAGAAAAGAAACACAAAAATAATTTTAGAATATACAGCTAATTTTCAGTGCAGACACAATTCCAGCCACGTCTATCAATCATGTAGTCACTACATTTTTTTCTTCCAAAATTTACCTAGGAAAAAACGTCAAGTCCTTTGACAATCTGTCCTACAAAATAAGCCCTGAATCAACTTTGAGGACATCCTGGATGAGAACAGTTGCCACTTTGCTTTTGCCAATGTTTTTGCATGACCCTAAGCAACTGGGTATTAATTTTAGCTACACAAAGAAAACTGTGGAAATAAAATGGAAATTAAAGAAGTATTTCCTAACATCTAAAGCTTTCTTACAGAAGAAATCTACTACCTTGAGTCTTTACCTTTATATTCCATGGAGGACAACTACAATACCTTTGTACTGTTGTACCTGGTTTCCTGCATACTTCTTCTTCATCCCCCACTTCATCCTCAGTGACTTCAGAACCAGTGGTATACTCCTCTTCTTCAGATAACAATGACTGCTGTTTCTAATTGACAGAAGCAGAATGCCACATGTTATGTGAGGCTTGATTCCTACTTCGTAGTTCACTAAATCTGTCCCAAATGAGTTGCCTTCAAATCTTGCTTCACATCTTAGTGAGGTAACTCACTAATGTGTGTGAGAAGCTAAGTCTGAAAACCTAACTTTCTTAACTGTTCTCAAATGTAATTTAATTTGAAAGTAATTTCAAATCTTTGTGTTTTGGCAAAAACCTGTATTTAGATTTCTTCCAGACAATAAAACATCATAGCAGGTTGCCCAGAGAGGCTGTGGTCTCTCCATCTTCAGAGAAACCAAAGATTTGTCTGGATATGAGTAAAGTGTTGAACTTTGAAGTTGAATTTAACTTTAAGAGTGGGAGGAAATATCTGAGATGACTACCAGAGATCCCTTCCAGCCCGTATTATTGTATGAATCCACATTTATCATTCATCATATTGCTGGAAATATTAATTAACATATTAAGAAAAATAAGAAAGTTCAAGTTTCAATAGCAAAACTTTGAGCTAGCCATGTAAATCATAGAACAAACTACAGGGTTTACTGAGGGAGGGCTCTCCCAAGATTTGCTCTATATTGCTAACTGTGTGATACTGCTGTCTCAGCAGTAATCAAGTAACACAGAGCACACATCTATTTATTTACTATTTCTTAAAACATCTCTGCACATCATAACAAATCACTGACTCCAATACTGCAAGAGATGGCACCACAATGGCAAGAGGTACTAGTATCAGTACAGTATAAGAAATATATTAAGGAATGTGATGTTCACATGGTTTGGAAATAAACACACATTTTTAAGTGATCACGATTGCCTAGTAACGCATGAGAAACAACAAGGGCTGACATGACCTGCAAATTCAAAAAGATTATTGCAGGACAACAGGAACATGAGACTGCAGAACAGATCATCAAGAGTGACAGAAGTAAACTGCTATTTCTCAAGCATTTGCGTATCAAAATAGACACGACTCACTATGACCAGTGCTATACGGCTGGAAGAGCAACTACACACCTTCTGTATTTGGCTAGTCATTCAACTCTGATAGAAGATTTTTTGTAACAAAGCAGCATCAAGCTGAAGCATCTCTGACAAGCCATGAGAGAGACAGGCAATCAAAAATTTGTTTTTAAGATCTGCATTACTGTCAGCCTAGTGAACTACGAGGAACACGTGTGCATTGCTGGTCTGTTGTTTGTTGTCATTTGTAAAAGTATTTTAAAGGACATTTTTATTTCTATTCAGACCAAATTAGCACTTCACACACACTTCATAGCTCCTCGTAAGAAAATTTTGCTACAATGCAACCTCCACAATGTAAAAGCAGATGAACTTCTGTCTAAATTACTCAGAAAACAAGACAAAAAAAAAAAGATCAAGGTTAACTAGAGCAAACATGAACAAAACGTTTTACTGACCAGTTGTAAAGTCCAGTTCTTCAGAGAAAGAAACTAATGAATAAGAGGAAGAAACGGAGAGACATAAAAATTAACAGCAATTATTAGAAGAGAAAAAAGTAAGTGGAATCCTAAAAACAGGATTGGAATGCTAACATACAACAATCTACACTGATAACTCCTAGAAGACCTACTCGCTTTTTTTTACTTACTTTTACTTTTGATTTTCATGAAATGATAAATTAGGCAAACAGGTTGTGAACAACTAATCAATTAAATGCAGTCAATTTAGAGTCACATTTCCATTTGCTAAACTTTGCATTAAAAATATTTACAGGTCATTGTAACAAAAATAAATAGTCTAGAGCTGAAAGGACAGTCCTGCGTCACAATGGTATGGAGTTAAGATTTAATAGCTTCCTGCATTTGTTGCTGGAAAGTTAGTGACACCATATAAAGGTTTCACACTCAGCATCATGCTACAATAAAGACTGCTGAGTTACCAGAAGTTCTACAATGAGTGCAGATCTTCAAAACCTTATCTTGGCATGAAAGGCCTCTTCAACTCAAGAGATATACAATCTACTTAAACTTGGCTTAGAAAACATCTCTATTGATCTGACATCAGCATGACAACAAATGGAATTATATTTCTGGAAGGTAAGATCATTCACATTTTTGAAACAAACAAACAAAAATCTCAGATTACTGCTAGTTTATGAGTTTATAAAAGCCACGTGGACATACTCAGATACCTCTGCAATAAACAAAGGTGGCAAATATTTAAATAACGTCTACCATGTGAGGTATATGACTGGTTCCTCAAATACAATCAGATTATAAAAGGGCTGTTACATAGGATAATTACTTCTGCTTTACAGAAATATTTCTGGTAACGCAGGTAAAGGTTTTGCCTTTTTGCCAAATAGGCATTTTATACATCCACAAGCCAATGCCACTCTGCAATGCTCAGTACTGCATCTCTTCCTCTTGCAACGTACTTAAAGTTGTCTAATGAATCCTTCAAAGTACTCTTGTAGGATTCTTCATTATCAGTAAAAAGGGGAAATAATATCAGCAGTCACTCACAGCATTGATTTCTCCAGTTTTGGGGCCCCACGGTGTATTTGGTTCTACGAGCACATCACATTCAATGCCTTTTTCATCACAAAGCCCAATACCAGAGTCACTTAGGGAAAGATGTGGGACAAAAATAACATTTTTTTTTTTCCATTTCACAATTTGGAATCAATCTGTTTTTACTCATTATGTACCAAAAGAAAAAAACCTCCAAGTAAGCCACGTAACATTTTGATAACAATCCATTAAAATGCAAATAAGTAGAGGAATGAATGGTGAAGGAGGGTGAATGTAAAAAGCAACAGTATTTGTTCTTCCTTTTCCAAATAAAGTCACCTTTACCAAGCACCGTGTCACTCATTTGAAAAGAGAGAAACTTACTCAAGTGTACCATGAACACGTTAAGCTTTCAAGACGAAGTTATTTCAGTAACAATACAACACCCTTACCTACTCTCATCCTTAGTAAAAGGAACAACAATAACATCTCTGTGATGGAGCAGATCATTCAATATTTTAGTGGTCTGAGATGGCAAAGAATCCCCATCTTCATTTCCAGAAGGTAAACTAGTCACGTGATCTCTCACCTTACAGCCCTGCAATATACATACAACATAAAAATGAATAAATGGCAATATTTGGGAATTACAGTAACGAAAATTAAGCTTTCTAGAAACATCTTATCTGAAAACTCAGAAGTTTTCTCATGGTGTAAACCATACAGATGGTCTTTTGATTCTATAGATGATACCAATTGTGTTCTTGCTGAAGTTAAGAGAAAATTATAGAAGAGATTCTGAGAAGCACTGTACTGTTTAGATAGGGCTAACAATATTTAGAGAACAGTTTCACTACCAATTTTAGCATTAAACATTGTCAAACTGTACGGAGACAGAATAGATGGTACCCCTTGCTTGCACTGATGACTTGCACTACGCACGCTGTTATTGCACTGGAAAATAAAAATGTCTTTCAGACATTACTCTCTTGTGTTCTTTAAAAAGTGAGCCAGTACTGACGTACCTTTGGGAGGGTAGTAGGATCAAATCGAAGTACGTTTTGGTTGCAACATGGATATACTCCTGTCCCAGTTGACCCCAGAGCACTTGCTACACCTGGATAAAGAACTGGCTGTGGATGGTACTGGCAATGAGAGAATTCAGTACACAGGAAAGACTGCACAAGAGTAAGAAGAGACATAATGAGAGGTGAGATGACCTCAGAAGTCAGTTTGGACCTACATTCTTTGTAGTGCAAACTTTATTGTCATGCACCCAGAAATGCAAAAACTCTATAACCATAGAATGTCTCAGTAGAAACTGAGAAATCAGAGGATATACATTCTAATTTAGTGTCATTTTGCTTTTAGTGGCTAGAACAAAAAGGAAAGAGCTAATGATGGGAAAAAATAGTATTCTGAAGTAATGAATCAGGATCTATAATTCCCATAAAGTAACCACATCTCCCAGCAATAAAACAAAAATCACTGATTGCTATCTGGTGACAAAATTAGTGAAAGAGAAGGAAGCAATAACAGTTTCAATCTCTGACGCAGTCTCAAAGCTCACCCACAACAAACAAGTTACCAACAAACAAGTGAAAATGGAAAGGTACTCACCTGGTTACATCTTGAGCAGGTCAACCAATTGACAGTCCCCCAGAGACGCCAATAAACATGCTGCCAAGATTTCAGTTCTTCGTGAAGGCCAATTAGGTATTCATGGACTTCCCAGGCTTTATCTCTGAAAAAGTACAGTGTCAGGTTGCACGCAGATAATAAAACTGTTTTGATTCAGCCACCAGGAAGGTGGGGTAAAAAAGGTGCAGAACAAAACGCCTACTAGTGAAAATTCTACATAAGAGTTTGGAACAGGAAGGACACACTGTGGGACAATCGTTACATTCAGATTATGACAAAAATGCCTGTGTTCTTTCACAACCTCCTAAGTTTACTAATAACAAGAAATTACAGCTTGTTTCATCTCAAGTGCTACATACAGCAAATCTGTATGCTAAGAGAAATATTGAGCCTTTTAGAAATCAAGAAAACCATAAAACAGAAGAAACTAAATACATAGAGGAGAATAAGTCAAAACATGCACGTGCAAACAAGCCCAAGGATATTGCAGTTCTCTGCCTTTAAATAATGTTGTGCACTAGAAATGTAGTACTTCCATTCTATTTTAAGACATAGAATACACTTGCATACACAATGTGAGAGGAATCAGTTAAGAATTAAAGTTTGAAAATAGGAGATTTAAAAAAAAAAATGCAGCTGAGACTTCCGGACTTAAAAAATAGCGTGTATTATAGACATTGCTCCTTCCCAGTAATACAATGACAAATATAAATTATAATTTAAAAAGAAAAAACAACGAGCACTGGCATGTTATTTTCAGAAAGATCAGATATTGTTTTCCCACAGTTTTAAGTCCTGGCCAGAAACATTTTTTGTTATATATACACTCATCTAACCAAGACTAAGCAAGCAGTACTTCCAGCTGGATGTTATCTCTAGGTACCACTAGAGGACCCATTTTTAAAACCTTAAAGATGGGATTCTATTATATCTTAGGCTTGAGTTTATCAGTAGTGAGCTTTACTCATCTAAGGGTCAGTAGATGAATTTCTAATAGAAAATAAGTTGCATGAACCACAAGGCAAATAATTAGAATCTAAATAATCCTCTGAGTAACTTTTAAAATCTGTACTGTACCTGTGTGCTAGGAATTGCAGAGTGACTACATAGGATCAACTTAAGCAAAGTACTGCAATTTTAACAGTCTAATTACCAAAGATCCTAATATGTGCCAGGGCATAAAGATCACAAATTTGGTACTATTTAGACTGTTAGGTGGAACTTGAAATTACTTATGGGAGATAAAACTAAATGAATATGTTATGTAGAGAGCTGACAGTGAAACATTTTGGTTGTTCAGAAACAAATAGATAGGTTGAGAAAGATCTCCTGCTACTAATTTCCTACTATTTTACTTAAACAGCGTATGTGGAGATAGAGGGAAGGAAAACTCTAGCTCATTATGCACTGATCTTCATTAAGAGACTCCAGCTGAAGGCTCAAACAGATGGAGTTAAATAATTGTGCCAAACAAGCAAGGCACACTTACAGAACAGGTCCTGGAAGCTCCTTTGATAAATGCTGTTTCACCAGGAAAACAATTGGCAACATTTATTTATGGTAGTCTTTTTGCAAGCTGAATATTTGATTGGACAGTAGAAAGCCAGTCTAGAATATAATCTTCAGCATTTCTTTGCTTTCACAGGCTGGACTAGATGATCTTAGAGGTCTTTTCCAACCTTAAATATTCTATCCAGCATTCCACAATTAGTCTGTTCTACATGCAATTTTGACTTTCTTTTGTAACACAAATATCTGATCCTAAACATACAGTATTTTGCATAATCACTCAAAATAACACATATATATAGTCATTTTTTTTTCCCACTACCTTATATGAACATAGACAATATTCCCATGTTGATCTATGTTGATTTTTCCTGGTACACACGGAATTCTTCTTTCAGTTTCTTTAGTTAACAGCTTCTTACATAAACAACATCTATATTTAAAAATAAAATAAAATATTGGCTTAAGAGCAGGACTTCAAATAGCAGGTACTGTTCTTGCAATTGAAATAACAAAAGTAAGAAAGTAAGACCACACCTGTATAAGGTAGCTGCATTTCCTCGAGAATCTGGATTTATGTAGTCTGGATCAAACAGTCTCTCAATCTTCTTGCAGAAAAGCTTACTATTAGTGACAGCAACACAAATTACTCATTAGAAAAAAAACCTGAAAATTCTTTTATGCAGGGAGACATATTCTGATGATTTGCAAAGGTCTTCATGTTTCTTTCAGAATCCAGCTTTTAATGTGGTTTTCCTTTAAAATAATCTGTTTAAATAACTGCTCTGGTCATCTCTTATTTTTATGAAGATATGAGGAAACAGATCCCTTATTTTTTTTCCTTTATTAAGTTTTCTTGTCTTTTTTTTTTTTTTTTTTTTTGCCAATCTAAGCTACCAGCATCTACCCTGAACAGAAGATCTTTACTGTAAAACTACAGTTAACTTTGGTTCTGATAGATGTAAAGTTGAAAGTTGTTACTGATTAAAATAAGTTTTTACTTCCATTTTGCTTGTCTGTCACTCTGCCCTCCAATAATTGGCCCTTTTTTTGACAGTGACTAGGCCAGAGTCCTTAGCATATGCTTTCTGAAAAGATACTCCATCACAGCTCTTCAAGATTCCAGCCATCCTAAGTTATATTTTCCACAATAGAGATTGCAGGATGCTGAAACCAAATTACAGAATTGAGGACCATGCCATATGATAAAGGGCTCCTTACCCTAATCCTGGCTTCCATGTGAGAATTTATGAATAATTTATCCATTTCATACTCCTAGTAGCAGCCTTTTCTTTTGCTTGTCTCCTACAAAAACTCTTTTCTTTTGCTCAGAATTTTTAATATTAAACTCTGAAGTCACTTCTTCATATTCTGCATTAAAGATACACACACACACACACAGATACATACTCTCATATATCACTCCAACTTCACACTGTCATAGATATTCTGGAAAAATGATTCAAAAGTACTATGGCACTTCAGCAGTGTATTTCAGAGCAAAAGGTTACCTTTTAAATTTATCTCTCTTGTCCTTCAGCTCTTCCAGTTCATTGTGAGTAAAGAGATCAGCAATATGTGCAACAAGATTAGCATTGATACAATTCATGTTACAAGGCGTGGCTACAATGGCATTCATATTTTTGTGACAATAGTGAATACATTTTTCTACCTAGGAAAAACAGAAATGTTAAAAATAAGATATGGAATTCTAAACAAAGATATCTCAACAGAAGTGCACTAATTACTTCAGGTTCTTCTTTCTTTTTTTTTTTTATAGCATCTAGTATTTTAAACAACTATTTCAGTTACACCTAAAAAACTGAAAGCAAGTCTCAGATTCACCTTAAAGAGACTATGAATTAACTTGACTGAGTCAGTTTTTGCATCTCCTCCTAAAGATTTCTACAGAAATCTCTACAGATGTTTCATTTTCAGTAACAACTTTCACTTGCTTGCAAAGGAGAACCATAGTATGCATTATATATAGTATTGCCTAGATCTCAATTTAAATAGCTAGACTTGCTATGTATTTAATTGTAGGTCACCTTAATGACAGATCCTGACAGAAGTATTAACAAACAAGCCAACAGACAAATTACACAGAGCTGAAGCAGACTGTAAGTTGCAGAAGTGTCTTATTGTAAATCAGATTCTGATGTTGTTTCAATCAGCCATCAAAAGGGAAATCCAGGACTCCACTCCCACATTTGTAAAGTTTGCAGAAGTTATTTCTATGTTCTCACTGAGATTCTGCAAATATTAGGTGTTTTAAATGAGAAAGGTGACAAAAATCTCAAAATGCTCTTACAGCATCTCTCATCATCTGTTTATACAACAGCAAGCGCACAGGTACTTGGATTTTACTTGCATCCTTAAGGCACAGAATCCTTCTTTCTTAATACTTACTAATGAATCCATCTTCAAAAACTCAGAAGAAATGAGAATCGATACGACATTTGCTGGTTCTAAAAGACAACAAACAAAAAAGTTTCCTTTTTTTACATGAATTCTTTTGGTGATATCACATCCCTCCCTTGGCATAGCTAGAATTTATCTGTGAAGAGTTTTCTACCAATCAACCCATTATTACCTCTTCCAATTTGTAGAATGTTTCCCATCTTATGAAATAAATTTTTGTTTAACATCCAGGTGGCCAGAACACAACTATAACTGCAATTTACTAAGACTGCAAAAAGTGCATCACAAGGATACAGTGACTAAGCAATTAGACAGAAAGATTAACTTCCATCACTAGCCACCATATCCAGGTGAGATTTTGCTCTCTGTAACTGCGTTTATTGTGACAATATTCCAGTTTTGTTCATAGTTCTTAAGAAATGTTAATGAAAGGTTTGTATATTAAAAACATGCCCAAAATTAATGCAGGAAAAGTTCTACTGTTTTACCAGACTGCATTGAAATTTTAAAAAATACTGCAGCTGTACAACTGGGAAGCAGAAGGGAAAGAAAACAAAACCTAAGCAAACAATCATCTCTGTTCTAAGACTCCCACTCTGTTTTTTTTTCAAAAGAGGTCTGAAGAGCCTTGATTAAAACCATCAGATCCCAAACCACGTCAGATCTTTTTCACCACTTCAGCCATCAGGATGTTTCCTCAAAAGTGTCAGCATTAAGGGCTGCTTTTGCAACATTTTTCTAATAACTGAAAAGTTCTACTTGTTAGAAACAAGAGACTGTGTCTGAACTGCAGCAAAAACATTATTGTCTGCACTAATGGAAGATAAATGATTCTGTAACAAATGCTCTACATATTTTATTTTACCTAAAGCAGGTATTTCATAAGCTTCACCATCTTTGGTGTTTCTTTTAACATATCTTATCAACCAGTCAAAGATGTGAACGTCACAGTGCACTGAAATGTCCACTTCTTCCCAGCGCTGGGCATCCACTGATAGATATTCAGCAAAGTATTTCATTTCGGAAATCAAAAGATCTCGAGGACAAACAAAATCTTCTTTGAGGTTTTTTGCTTCATCACACACGTGTATCACCATATTTGGCCTCAAAAGGAAAGTAAGCCACAAAACAAATTAGGACCGTAAGACACATAAGGACCAATTAGAAAGCTAAAACTCAAAAGACCTCACTTCCAAATCAGGATCACGCATTGCAATACTGATGTCACTGCTTTTATTAACAGATAGAATACAAATTGCAGTTATTAATTATTAATAGAAAGTACCGTCAGACACTAGGTGAAAAACAGAAACGTGTTCCCTGACATGTGATCCATTTAGCAGAGCCATTTAAAAGTTCAGGATCAGCAGAAAAAAGTTTGAGCTCAGTTCCCCTAATTTGTCTCTAGTTTGTTATAGGATGCTACTTGAATTATATGAAGAGTTTATTTGTTCTCACATCTTTATTTTAGTGAAAAAATGCACAGATAAAACTAAAGCTGCTTTATTTTATATTAAAGTGACTATTATGGTAAACGCTAGAATCAGTCTACGCTGCCTCCAGAAAAAGATGGCCATGCTTATGCATGACTCAAACATGTTACTCTTAAACATCTCATACAGTAAGGAAAATGGCTATTTGAATGGGTAGTAAAATTGTTCATTTGCATTTTTCAGTTACAGTTTTCTTCTCCATCTGTCCCATGAATAGGACAAACCCATGCTCACAGAACGTAACTATTTTTTGAATAAATGTCACTCAGCATCAATCTTCATTTACTGCTTTTTAAAAATCAGGTTGTTTCCTATTCTTACCACTGCAATGATCAATCATTTTCAGGCAAACACTGGGGACAAATTCATAAACAAGTCACCCCCCAGCACATAAGTTCTCAAGACAATCCCTAACATTTCTGCTGCCAGAGAAAGCTTCAACATTTCTTATAGATCTTTCCAGGATGCTCCTAGTTATTTTCACTGTGATAGTAGAACGGAACTTTAGATAACTTTCTGTCAGCATTATAATCTTCCAAATAACAAATACACAAGGACCTTCTTACCCCTGGCTCTCATCAGTGCTTTCTTCACTCTTATGCACAGGACCTTTGTCAGATTCTGAAGAACAATTCCTTGTGGAGGTTGTGCTGGGCCTTCCTTAAGAGTAAGGAGAAAAAGGCTGCATTAGATAAAAAATGCCTGACCTGCTTTTCAGTATCTTGGAAATCCAATGTAAGTACAGCTTCCATTGCAGAACAATGTTTAAGTACAGAGCAATAGATCTGTGCTACCACAGGGGTTACTAGATAATCCAAATCCCTCCTCTGAGTACTGTGAAACAGAAATCTAGATCAGCAGCATTGCTGGGATGCCCAGACACTTGGCTGTGAACTCAGATCAATCCTGTCTCAATGCTTCTTATGCATACTTTTTTTTTAAAGCTCTGAAAAAAAGCTGCTTCCAAACAAAAGCATAGAAGTCTCTGTAAATGTGTTTTTGGTAGGTTTCATAAATACGTGGATTAAAGCAACCAACAGGATAAAACAATGCTCATAAAAAGCTGAGCATTAAATCTCTCTCTTCCTAGAACTCCATTATGCAGCTTATTTCAAGCATAGCTGAGTTCTATTTCAAATGTTTTCCTCACAAACACACTCAGGCAACGTAACAGGTACAAAAAACTGAAGGCTAGCAGGTCTAGTCAATAATAAATAAATAAATAATAAATCAAGAGCTAAGATACCCCAGCTTCACACTTTGGACAACTTTTCCTACTGTGATAGCTTAGTTTGGACAGGACCTTAAAGATCATATGGTTCCAGAAGCACCTTTTCCCTCTCAAGTAATAGAGGAGGCCAAACTATTCTGAGGACTAAGATAGCTCTTCTTATCTCATGACTACATTACAACAGCAGAATTATAACAAATGATTTTGAAGCTCTATGCAGTTCAGAATGCAACAGTTATACCTTCTGGAAAATTAGGTATCACATCAAATGGAGAACAAAGCTTTCTCCAAAGATATAGCCTACCATCTTGGACAGCCAAGCCTCAGTAAGGCCATAATCAAAGAAAGGTAGTCAATAAAGTGGCAAATTTATAGGACAGACCCTAGGAGAACCTTGGAAAAGTCAGCCACAGCCTTCGGTATAGCCATTCAACTGCAGGCATGTGACCCATGCTAGCAGAAATATTGCCAAGGTAGAAGTCAGTATTTTGAACACAAGGTAAGATGAATATTATAAAAGGAAAGGTCTGTGGAAAAAATTACATGGAAGAGTTTTGTCCATAAATATTAAGAAATTATTTTGGACACAGTGAAGTTATCTAATGAAGAAAAGGAAATAATGCTGTCAAGAATATGCAACAGTCAGATTAACTAAATTTCACTATGTGTTTCTACTTTGTTTTTTCTTCCCCATCTTCTCTCAGAGCTTATAGATGGCTCAAAGTTTGAAAGCTACTAACTTAGGCAAGTCTGTCCCATATGTTTATTGCCATTCAGAAGGACTTGGCAGCAATCTGCCTTGTAATTAGCAAGTAGTAAACAATGTTTTATCACTCAAACAAGAACAAAACCCAATTCAAAATGAATTTGGTTTGATTAATTTACTTGCTATTACCCACATCTACAAGCAAATCCAAACAGGTCCAAGATTTTTGTCCATATAAATATGTATATGTGAATACACAAGGAAGTAATTAAATGAAAAAACAATCTGCAAATGGACTTTTCTCAAATCCTTAATTCTGAAATATATGAGTACTCCACAAATACTAAGAAAGTGAATTCACAACAAACCTGTGAGAAAAAAATACCTTAATATTAAGAAGTTATATATAAACAAAAAATAATTTATTCCAGTCACAAAAAATGTGGTAGGCAAAGCAATACAGAATCTCTCTCATGCTACTATTATCTTTCGATTAGGAAACTTTAGGGTACTTAACTACATTAATACTTAATAATAAACAGTTAAAAAGAAAATATTCACTAGATGTCTAAAGAGCTCTATGAGCAGAGTTAACTACCTATTGGAAAGCTAATGATCTTCTAAGCAGCCACCTGTAGGTGCAAGAATTTGTTCCAGGTACTGTGTTTAGCAAGTAAAAAGTTGAAAGCTGATAAAAGCAATCCTGGTCTATGTATTTTATTTATAGTTTTCATATGTCATCTCTATTAGCTATAATAAAAACATTTGTTCTCCAGCGAAGGTCAAACAGCTGCATTTCTTCTGCAAAAAAAAAAAAAAAAAAAAAAAAAAAGTAACCAGAAACCAATGCTAAAAGACATTATAAGAGAGAGTGTTTTATTTGATACTTCACCGGTTTTTCAGCTTGCAACACAAACATAGTTCACTCATTACTCCAGCAAAGCAAGTTTCTCCGGCAACACATTTGCCTGGTTCTACAACATGCTGAAAACATCTAAAACATCTCAGAACACACCGAAATCCAGAGAATAACTATCATATAGTTAATTACAGTAGAAATACTTAATGAGATATTTCAATAAGTGCACAACTATTATGAATGATATCCTCTTCTGTCAAAATATTACTGAGATACATAATTGACTAAGATACATTGTATGGCACTGCAAAACTATTCAGCATCAAAAAGTAATCAGACTATGTTCTTAACTCCTTCCTGTCCTTCTTGCCGTTAAGTACCATAGCAGGCACTAAAAAGGGCCTTTTGCTGGGAGAGTTTGACCTCAAGGGTCTTTGCAGCTTTTTTACACAGAGCTTTCAAGTTATTTTAATAACACAGCTTACTGTGATCACAAATGTTCGCAGAGTTAACAATGCACCACTGGGGATTCAAAACAAAATAAATCTTCCTTCTACCAAAAATCCTAAATAGAAAGGTTTAGCCAAAGGGTTTGATGGATGGACTGTTCAATGGATGAAGAACTGGCAGCAGTATTGAGTCCAGAGAGTAGTGGTCAATGGCTCAATATCTGGATGGAGATCAGTGATGAGCAGTGGGTCCCACAGGGGTCAGCGATGACCGATAATCTTTAATTTTTCCATCAACGACACTGACAATGGGGTCGAATGCACCCTCAGTCCAGAGAGCCAAAAATATCCTGGGCTGCATCAAAAGCAGTGTGGCGAGCAGGGTGATCCTGCCTCTCTGCTCTGTGCTGGTGAGGCCTCACCTGCAGTACTGAGTCTAGATGTGGAGTCCTCAGAACAAGAGAGACATAGACCTGTTGGACCATGTCCAGGAGGGCCACAAAAACGATCCAAGGGACAGAACAACTCTCCTACAAGGACAGGCTGACAGAGCTGGGGCTGTTCAGCCTGGAGAAGAAAGGCTGCAAGGTGACCTCTCAATATCTAAAGGGGACCCTACAGGAAAGAAGGGGACAGATTCTTCAGCAGGGTCTGTGGTGACAGAAATGGCTTCAAGATTAAAGAGGGAAGATTTAGGTTAGATATAAGGAAAAAGTCTTTTACAGTGAAGGTGGTAAGGCACTGGAACATTATTAAAAATACTGTGAGATAACATAATAATGTAATATATATAATACGTATATATTGATAGATTAGTATATTGTATTACATATATATACACACATACACACACACACACACATATATATATATAATAGAATAATAGAGATGGGGTTGATGTCCTGTCCCTAGAGACTTTCAAGGCAAGGATGGATCAGGGACTGGGTAACCTGATCTAGCTGTGCACGTCTCTGTTCACTGCGGGGGAGTTGGGCTAGATAACCTTTAAAGGTCCCTTCCAACTGTAAGGATTCCATGATTCCATCTTTTATGTGCTCCCACAGAAAATACCTTTCAGAAAGGCAAGCTATTGAAAATATCCACTGCCTCAACGTAAACTAACTGAAAGAGACTTTGAGTACACACTTTGTCTTTCTAAGACAAAGACTACTCCTGGGTGGACCTACCACTCAAGACAGAAAAGCATGCACACACTGACTATAACCCCAAGCCAATATATTTCAGAACAACTAAAACATACCAGTTATAGTAATGGAATCCTGCCCAATAGCAGTGTCCTGAAACTCTGTCTGTGTGTCGAGCAAGGAGGATTTGATGTACACAGCTAAAGTTTCCACAGGATTCTCACCAGCAGCCATCAAGGGATTATACTGGTTGTCAACGGGTGAACTTCCAGTGCTTTTTAGTTCATCAAACCTTTTTGCACACTGTCACAAGATAAAATGATAGGACAACGAAGCAGTAGCTTTTGGTACATTTTTAATAATTCTAAATTGAGGCAGATACTGTATTTTGTATTACCTTGTGCACATGAACAGTTTGGTCATACTCTAACAGAAAAAAAATATATATATGATGAAACCTGTTCCAATCTTTATTTTCATAAGGCATACAATTTTAAGCCTAATCTTCAAAAGGGAGATTAAGGGAGTGCTTAAATTGTCTTTTTGAAGCTAGTTGGGTTGGTTTTTTTTTTTTGTTTTTTTTTTTTCATCTAAAGCATTGTGCATCAAAGCATTAATTAAAAGTAGCCATAATTTCTTCATAATTCCTATTACTTTACTTTATGATTTCCATCTTCTAAGACCAAGCAAGAAAGACATCTGCACTCCTTCACAATAAGAACTGTTACTTAGAATTACAATGTCAATGAGAAATTCGTAACCCACAAGCTACAAGTTAGTAGGTACTGCCACCCTTTCCATGAAAATAATCTTAGCCAGGTACATTTAAATACATCATAAGTTTTCACTTGCTATTCCAATTTCAATTCCTACTTTCCAAAAATTTGTATTCTGTACCAGCCTTAGTGAAAGAAAATGCAGAATGTACTTTTTAAACTCAGTGTTCTGTACAAACAGATTTTTTCTTCAATCTACTGCTCAAAGTTTTCAGTTCTCCTGATTATAAATTAATTAAAAAAAAACCAAAAAAACAAAAACCCACCCTCCTTTAAATTCAATTTTCCTCCCTCCCAAAGAAGCTATCTTCTTCATCATATACTGCTTGAAGTATACAGACTCCTTTATTAGTAAATTCACCTCTTTGGATGTATATCCAGGAACTAGCCTTGCCACGCTGTCCCAGTTGATAGGCTGAGAAACACCAAGTAGGGAACACAGGATCATATCCAAAACCATTTGATTGTTGTCATACGGAAAGTTATTGTTTTCTGAAAAACCACGACTCATCTTTCGCTGCTTATACCTAGAAGAGAAAATGCTATTATCACATCTCATTGCAACGATTGCTAAAGATTAACTTTCAGAAGGTAATGGGAAGTGCAGAAGGTAATGCATGTTACTGTGGGAAACATCACAGTATTACAATCCTCATAGCAGTAACTCTTGCCAGCGTTTCTGTCACAGTCTTATCTCTAGATCTGTATCCACGATAGGGAAACAGCAGGCCCCACAGGGCTTGAAAAAAGTTGAAAAAAGGGAGGAAAAGGGAATGAAAGGGAAACAATAACAGCAGTAATGATCTGAGGAGGAAAACAAACTTGGCTTACTAATTATAACAGCAAAAAAAAAAACCCAAAAACAAACAAACAAAAACAACAACCAAGTTAATCAGGATTTAAGCTAATAAATCAAATAAATGAGAGAGTTTCTGAAAAGCAAGGTTCTTAGTTTGATCTGCCAGGGAGCAAAGAGAGCTAGTCTGGTGACATCAAGTCACCAGAGCTGTAGTACATCTGAGATTCCCAGCGCACTACACGATGTGATGATGGGGAATACTGCTAACAGAAATCATAAAAACATGACAATTTCATATCCACATACTCAAATTCTATGAGGGAAAGGAGAGAAAGCGTACAACACATCAAATCAGACTCAGTTACAGCATGTCACTCCTTTGAATTGCTTCAACACAAAGGAACAGAAAAATCCACTTGTATGTAAATTTACGAAGCTTTATTTAAAGAAAAAAAAAAAGGGGGCGGCCGGACCGAGGATGGAAAAGGAAGCCACAAACAGTTGCTCCTAGAGACAGATGTTCCTAGAAGCAACAGTTTTTAGAAGTGCACTCTAAATACAGTCTAGAAGAAAGTCTACTCTTGAATGAGATGCTGTAGAGTTTCTCTTTCCCTAACTTATGAATGGAAGTGCAAGTCAGAACAGGACAATAAGGAAAATACAGTGCAGTGTCAAGAGCTGCTGTTTCCAGGTCCAAGTTACTAACACATAGCAGAACCTGATCACCTCTTTGCCGAGCCAAGATAAAACTAAAGATTCCACAAAAGTATCCGTAACTGGAAAGAAAAAAAAAAAAAAAAGAAAAAAAAAAAACAACCTAAAACCACTGTGTAAAAGACCACACAATAACAACCTAGTCAATCAAAAATATTACTAGGTTCCTTCTTTGGTCTCTTCCCTTCCTTGTATGCACACTAACTAGACCATTAGTCCTACTGACTTGCTGCTGTTGCTCTGCCATTGTGCTCTAGCAAGCACACTATTTTATCCCAAGTGCTAGTCATACACTTTGGCTAGATGCTTCTACTTCTACAGTCGACTACACAGAAGATGCCCATCCACCAACCACTGGACATCACAGTCCTATGTATTAGCATGAAATCATTACGAATGGTGGTTAAAAAACAATGTCCGCTCTAGTTAAAGAATGGTATGAATTATACGAACTTGTATTGTGTTGCATCTGCTCTCAAGATTGCATCTCTAACTCCGTCAAAACCTTGGAGCTATACAGCAGGTGTTGTATGAGCCAGAATGAAAAGAAACGCGTGTGAAATGCTTTGTTGCTAAATACTTGGAACAAAAGGACTCTATCAGAACTCTGAAATACGAATTTTTAATTCCCTCCCCTGAAGAAGGAACAGAAAATAAAGGATCCAGGGCCCAGATAGGTTCTCGAATCCAAAGGTGAGAATAATTTTCAGAGTACTACAGGCTCTGTAGTACTCTGTACAGGCTGTGCAAGGAATTGGTATTTAACTGTTCAGGATATACCCCCGAACTACCTCCCCTTTCAGCAGCTTGGAAGGGAACTACCCATAGTCTATTTTCAGAGGAATTCATGACACTGAGCTCTTCAGTGCCTCCTGCAGGGCCTCCTTCAGTCTCAGAAGAAACAGCCTAAACTACAGAGGGGCTCTTTTATTTAAGTTTACTTGCACTTACATACACTTTCTCTGCTTTTCTCCAAACTTTCTATGTCAGCCTCCTCTTGCTCTGCTTTTTGTTTTATAAATCTGACTCCCATCTAATAGAGGTCAACTCAGGCATCCAGCTAAGGGGCAATTGCTAAAATTTCAGAACATGGCAACTAAGCGTCCCTCATCCTGAACACTTGAGTTTTGAGTTGTCCTAAAGCATTCACAACACCCAGTTATTGGGATTATTAGTGTTGAAGAACCTCGTTCTTCCAGTTTCGAGTTAAACAACAGATCAAACATCAGAACAAGCATAAGCACTGAATACTTCTAAAATGCAGACCAAGTAATTGGAAAACAAAACAAACAAAAAACAACAACAACAAAAATCATTTAAATGCATTTTACATTTAAGAAAAGGGAATACAGTAGAAGTTCAAAGCACTTGCTTTAGTATACTCTGAGAAAACTGCTGGCATTAACCAACACTTCCATAATTAACTAGCACCCAGCTAGAGAGCTTAGTAAGCACCCGTATTTGGAGATTGCTTTAGACTTTTTCTGAAGTACCTTATGCAGATCACATAAATAGCACAATCTAAAAGTCAGTTGAATTTTAATGTATGAAGCAAGGATCATAGAGTATTTCAGGGAAAATACATCTGGACCATAGCAGTCTTAACTAACTCCCTGTTACTAAAGGAATAATATAGGCATTTCTTTTGCATAGCTTTCTATCCATATAGCTAAAAGACAAGACAAATACATTTAAAAAGCACTAATTTTTTTCTGACTGTAGAATCCATTCCAGAAGGTGTTTTTTGTTATTGCTATTACTAGAAACAAAATTTGCAGATAATTATAAGCCTTCATTCTCTCAAAAGGGCAGCGAAATGAAACAAACAGAAATTTGAAGAAATGAGAGCATGCTAAGATAATGCTTAGGTTCCCCATGTTCATGATATCTAAACAAAGCAAAAACACCACAAACTACAGCACCAGGTTAAAGGCCTTCCTTTTAGAAAGATAAGTCAAACAGATAAAAGTCACAGCCGCTTGGCAATTCCATCTAAATGAAATCTACTGCAAAGCGTTTCAAACAGCTGAAGAATAAAGGCATACAAGCTCCAAATTCCAACTAATATAGATGCTGCTATGAAGTACAGGTAGATCAGTCCCCACGTTTGAGTCCTTAAGCCCTTATCAAGATGGCAGTATTAGATGATGCCACTATGGTAATTTGGAAACTTCTCTCCAGCAGTGTACAGACACACAAAAATCAGAGTAAAGCCACTGAATATCTGCAATATCTGGTGTACGGAATTCAAGGCATGGACAGGTCTGCACCAGAGGTAAACTTCTGTGGTTATAGGACACAAAGCCCATTTCTTACACTGATTTCTGTGCATATTGCACCTGGTTTGCAAATCCATGGAAATGAACCAGTGATGGAGAACCAAGAACCTCCTGGTCTCGAGATACAGAATAAACTTGAGTAAAGGTACTAATAATACCAATATTGCATATACCACCTCTTCCTTCAACAGGATCATATGGGATAACCAAAAAAAGAAAAGCAGTTATTTTGCCATAGTGAGAGTTTATCATTTAAACGAACAAACACAGTAACTTTAAGCACTTTGCTGGTAACAAAATCACGTACACATCACTATGCAGCGATAAGAATCACTCAGAAACATCATGAAACTCTCAAACCTAATCGCACTCCAAATAACGTTTTACCCACTCATTCCATACAGAATAACAGCAGCAGCGAGGAGCTCTGCGATAAAACCAAGGCATCTTTCCATGGATAACAACAAGGGTTCCGTCGGGGGCAGCCCGCCCGCTGACGGACCCGGCCCTCTCCGGCCGCGGCGGGGCACGGTTACCTGGGGGGCTCCCAGGCCGGCGCCAAGCAGCGGGGCAGTGGGCGCAAAGGCGGAGAGCGTGCGGACGGAGCCGCTTCCCGAGGAGCCGGGAGGGGCAGCAGCAGAAGCAGCAGCAGCAGCCCGCGGCGCGATCAGCCGCAGAGCCGAACCGTACGACGGCCACTTCAGACGCCGGCACCGCCCAGCGCCACCTTCTCAGAGCGAGGAGGCGGGGTGCGTCATGAGGGACAGGACAGCTCACAGCCAACCGGCGCCTGGCGGGTGATGAAACTCCGCTCCCCTCCGCCGGTGACGACCAATAGCGCGCCCGGGAGGAGCGCGGCAGGAGCTCTTCCCGCGATGTGTCGCGGCGGAGGAACCGCCCTTCCCGGCGGCCCCACCTTGTCGCAGTGCAGCGGCAGCGCCCTCTCCAACCCCGCGTCCAGTCGCCTGGCTACGCGCCCCCCAGGCCTTCTCGTCATCGACGCTGTCCCGCTTCAGCCCCGCAGCGCCGCCACGGGCTCAGCAGGGGTGGAACGGAGCAACGAAGCGGAAGGCGAGAGCTTCGCGGGGAGGAAGCTTTGTAGCGAGGACACGGCGCGCAAAACAGCAGAAGCAGCGTCAGGAGGCAAGCGGAAGGAGCGCACGTTATCGCTTGTGGACACAGCGACAACCCCACTGCCACAAGTGTTGGCAAAGCCCAACGCGCAGCCACACCAGCGCCTACGAAAATGGCTTAATGTTACTTATGTTGTGGAAAATGAAGTGTTCCTCTGCTGTCACCAACAAGAATTTCTAAGCAATGTTGTGCATTTCTTTACAATGTTGATAGTGCATTCTGGAAATTGGTGTGGTTGTTTCTTGTTGGTGTGTTGATACCTCCTCTGGAAAATTTTCACTGAACAGGTTTATAAGAAACAATTTGCTCTGTATTTACCCAACTAGGACGTTTCAGCAAAATGACCAAATGTGCCAACACAATCTTACTAGCTCAGATGTTCCACAGAAGACACAGTATTTGAACCTGTGCAAAAGGAGCAGAAAATTTTAGAAACTTACACTAGACGAGGAATATTTTTAATTTATTCTTCAGAAACCTGAGCAAAGCGGTTGAACATGTGCATATTTGCATCCTGCCAGCACCCAGAGAACCAGCCAAAACTGGCAACTGTCATTAGCTTATATAGTATTCAAGCATAAAATGGCTGGCTTACTGAACTGGGTATCAATGACACTAAAGAAAGAATAAACTAAAATGTTATATATGCAAATGTCATAGGTCTGTTACAGCCTTCTATGCCTATACAGTACAGGTATATAAACAATTTCAAAGAATAACATAAGAATAACATAGAATGTAGAGGTCTTAGGATCTAAGAATCAACTGCTTTCCCAATCTTCTCTTCCACCCACTCCTGTTGGAGCCACACCTGCTCCTTCCAGTCTGCTCACTTTGCTAAAGTTGGGCAAGTCTTGGGAGCATGGTTGACAGGCTGCTCTTTTTCAATCAGCATTCATTTAGATGATTTTTTTCTCTGGAGGTTGACATACAGCCAGATATGGAATGTCTGGGGGCTGTGTGGGATTGTACGACTCAGGCCTTTTCCTGATATTAGTTTGTACATGTAAAAAACAAAATTTAAATCTTGAAACAAACATGCACTTTACTTAATTTTAACACCCTTCTGCACCTAAATAACTTAGTTCATTGCTTTATCTTTCTTTTCCCATTAATCATAAGACTGAAAGAATCAAAACCTCTGCCAACATTTAGCTGGTAGTTATGAGAACTAGTGATCGGTAGACAAAAGTTGAACTGTTGTACAGACAAATTATTAATAACCTATTTTTCTACTAACTGTTTTAAAATAGCATGTCTTACAATGTGAAAAATTGAATTTATCTTAGAATTAGCAGTTTGAAAGATTCTAACAAACACCAAAGCACTATCTACCAAACTTCCTGTGAGCAAGTAAATAGAAGTCAACTTGAATGGACACTACAAAAAGTTTGGGTTGTTCATTTATGTAAACCCTTCCTCTGACTGAAATCTTACCCTGCCACAGAAGACTGATAGCCCATTAAGCAAATCTTACAACAGTAAATAATTCCTCCCATGAATACACACTGTAAGCAAAACCATGCACACTAACCCTTCCCCCTCCACCCCCCAACTTTTCTTGTCTATGTATTTCAGATGTTCTGTTTTAAATACAGTTTCACATTTGTTTTTTAAACTATTTCTTTCTCTCCACTTGAAGATCTAACAATCTAATAAAAATGGTATCTCCCAACACCTGACCACAGCCATTTATTCTTGCTATATCAAATAGACACCCAGAGGTTACTTTAAAATCCGAGGATTCAGCATAAGATGCATCTTCTCAGTCACTCTACCTCAACAAAACTATGCTCTCCTCTCTTGTCCATTTTGTTGATAATTCTAAGAAGGTCAGCAAATGCAATTAAAGTGTAAATACTGAAAGCTTTGCTTAAATACATAATGGCTGTTGAAGATCTTTACAGAAACAAACTGAAACTTCTGGATCAGCTAAGCAAATGCCTGTATCCTACCTTTTCTATCTTCGAAATAAAAACTGTTTTTTAACCATAAAAACAAGTTTTAATAAGTTTATCTACTCCTCTAACTTTCAGAATGGGTGTATATATATATATATATATTCTACAAGAAAAAAGTTTTCTCTCTCCTTCATTAAGAAAAATTGTATTTCAATACAGAATTCTCAAACATCAATATGAATAAAATACTACACACTCTGAACAGTCTTAATGCACTTATGGCTCTTGATAAATCAGAGCTCTCAAATTTATGGGCTGATGTAACATTTACCACCTGAATGGCAGTGTTCCTCCAAGAACTTAGCTAACTGGGACAACTAAGTACGAAACTTTACATTTTCTTTGCCACTCAATGGAATTCTGTAAACTCCTGCCTCTCCACTGCATTACTATTATGCAGGATATTTTGACATTATTTTAAAACAAATATAAATTAAAAAAATGGAAATGAGACGTGGTAGTTGATAAGTGACTGACAGACAGTTAATAGGCTGCAACACAAAATGGCTAGAGGTGATGCTAAATTAGCATACCAGAGAAGGAAGTAAAAATAAACAACATGGGAAGTGCGTGACTAGATGATGCCCTTTACTCTAATGTTATTTTAATAAGCAAAGATGCATTGCTTTTTTTTTTTTTTTTAATTTCTATCTCCTTCCCTTACTGTACCCCCTTCTCTTTCTCATAAGTCACTATTTTTATGAGAAAGAGCAATCTAAGTCTTTATGACAGAAGCCGTACTTCTTACCAAAAGCAAGCAATTGAGAACTTGTAATGGTTTGACTGTGTCACCTAAATCTCTCGCAATTCTTAGAGGGAAACAAAGTACTATTACTAGAGTATTGTCCTCAGCCTCCAGTTCCGGACAACCTTTCACAGAAATTTACTTTCCCTTTGCACATCAGCTGAAGTGGCATCCTGTCAAGCTGACATTCCAATGAAGACTGGACATTAATTCTAGACTTTATCAACAGTTTCTCTGCTTAATCAGAACAGACCAGCACTTATTACTTTGTTTGTTTGCTTTGTTATAAACACCTCAATTCTTCCTGGCTCCAGATCTTATAGCTGCTGCAAGGTGGTTAGGTAATATGCAGCCTTAGGTAAATTAAAAAGAAATAATACAAATTTGAGCAAGAATTTCTCCATCTTTTTACCAGTCTGGTACAGGCCCATCAGTGTTCTACTACAACATAGATTTTAAACATACCCTAAGTTTTATCAATAAAACACCATTCAGTTGCTTTGTTGAGGAAAGTGCATTAGAGTTCCTGTTTCTCTCCACTAACTGCAGTGGAGTCAGATGCAACAGGAACTTTATTACTTCCTGCAAAAACAGAATCAAAAGCAGCTTCCTGTTCCTCCAAAGTCACAGCAGCAGTGGATCCTCTAGCAGGCATCCCAGTGAAAGATGGACGTTGCTCTGTAATCCTTTCCAGGTCCACTGTTTTCCTGCCTTTTCTTTTGCCCAGTATTCTGATATAATTAGCTGGTACAAGTCCTGTTGTTTGACCATCATAACTAGCCAGAAGCCAGCCACGGATTTTGGGTTGTTGGTCTGAAAAAGAAAACGCAAGAGCATTAGGTTACAAAGCAATTCAAAGTATTTTGCAGTTGAGGCACAAATACACAAGAAGGCAGAGCATAATTGATCACAAAGAAATAACTCTGTAATAAAAGGGAAATACAAATTACTACGCAAGAGAAATGACAAGGATCTGCATTGATGAGGTGTTCTGAAGTGTACTGTGAAGCTGAAATTGTTGACACCACCATACTGCAAACGCCTAAGGATCTTCACAGCTGGACAACAAATATGAAAAAAGGATAGCCACAAAGGTAACCACAAAGTATACTCTGACTAATACTTTCAGGCTGTGTTATACTTCAGGGAAATTGAACAAAACTATTTAGTAAGTTTTATTACAGTGCATATAATGAAAAATAATTTAAAAAAAAAAAATCAGTAGGTCTGAGGAATTGTGTCAAAAAAGGCGTTTTGTTTTTACATTCTCACTTTCTCCCCGTGCTACTTGCTCCCTTCTTTTCCCCCCTACACACAATTCAGACTCAAACTACACAACGTATTTCACATACAATTAGAAAACAAGTTGAAAGTTAAAAGCTTACCTTTGGGTGCTAATTTTAGAATGTCACCAGCACGGAAGGATATTTCCTCTTCTGAGAGAGCACTGAAGTCATATTCTGCTCTTCCAACTACATGATCATCTTCTCCACTTGCCCAGTTACTAGATACTGTTTCCAAAAAGAAATTAAGAAATTACTTGCTTTGAATTTCAAGGATGAGAAGTTTTTGGTTGGTTGGTTTTGGTTTTTTAATAAAAGAAAAATGGAGAAGACACCTTAACTTTCTTGCTTCTCTAGCAGAGAACCAACAGGACTAACAAAGACAATATTTTTAACCTTTTAAGTTGAAGGAGGGGAGATTTAGGTTGGATGTCAGGGGGAAGTTCTTTACAGAGAGAGTGGTGAGGTGCTGGAACAGCTGCCCAGAGAGGCTGTGGATGCCCTGTCCCTGGAGGTGTTCAAGGCCAGGTTGGATGGGG